AAGGAAAAAAGGGGACACAATTACAATCTTCTTTTCATGAATGGAAATGTCGATCTTTCCCCTTCTTTGATCTAATTCAAGACTTCCCATAGGTTGAAATGCACACACCTTAAAAACCTCCCATCTTCCGGAAGAGATGTTATAGTAGGACTCTAAAAGCAATTCCTCTGGTGCCTTTGAACAATCTAAGATATATATATTTTCCAGACAGATGTAGCTATACTCTGCTAGTCAATGAATGGAAATACAGATTGATGTAAGGAAAGTATTGCTAACCCAAGGACTGTTGTTGTTGTTCATTCGTTCAGTCGTCTCCGACTCTTCGTGACCTCATGGACTAGCCCACACCAGAGCTCCCTGTCGGCCGTCACCACCCCCAGCTCCTTCAAGGTCAGTCCAGTCACTTCAAGGATGCCATCCATCCATCTTGCCCTTGGTCGGCCCCTCTTCCTTTTACCTTCCACTTTCCCAGCATAATTGTCTTCTCTAAGCTTTGCTGTCTCCTCATGATGTGGCCAAAGTACTTCAACTTTGTCTCTAGTATCCTTCCCTCCAATGAGCAGTCGGGCTTTATTTCCTGGAGGATGGACTGGTTGGATCTTCTCGCAGTCCAAGGCACTCTCAGAACTTTCCTCCAACACCACAGTTCAAAAGCATCTATCTTCCTTTGCTCAGCCTTCCCTAAGGTCCAGCTCTCACATCCGTAGGTGACTACAGGGAATACCATGGCTTTGACTATGCAATGGATCTTGGTTGCCAGTGTGATGTCTCTACTCTTTATGATTTTATCGAGATTGGACATTGCTCTCCTCCCAAGAAGTTTACCTCCCAAGGATTACCAGGTTGCAATTCATCAGGGTGACCCCACAACATAAACAAAAGTCAATGGAACTGAAGTCAAATAACACTACCATTGGATCTGGAATGGGATTATATGCAGCCAGGCAAGGCCCTCCTCACTGGAGAAAACTGATAGGAAGATCAGGATTTCAAGAACAGCATTTATAGTTGTTAGTAGATATAAAAGCAGCAGTCAACAAATACCAGGTTACATTTTAATGGAAAGAACTGACAAAACCAACTCAGAACATTCTGAACAATATCACCTCTCAAGAAAACATTCCCCCAGGCTCTTCCAAGCCATTAAATGCTAATCAAGGTGGTCAGTTGAAACATTCACACCTAGCTCCAGCAGACAAAAGTCCTTTGCCCCACCCTGGTCATTCCACAGATATATAAACCCATTTTCCTACTTCCAACAGACCTCACTACCTCTGAGGATGCTTGCCATAGATGCAGGCGAAACGTCAGGAGAAAATTGCCTCTAGAACATGGCCATATAGCCCGGAAAAACCTACAACAACCCAGTGATTCTGGCCATGAAAGCCTTCGACAATACATCCAACTCAGAATACTCCTTGCCTAAGAAACCCCTATGAAATCCATGGGGTTGCCATAAAATTACTTCAAGGCACATATACAATTACACTCCTGAAGGCCACACTATGCAGAACACAACACAGGCTTTGGGAAGGTACATATATGCTGGAGAATTAATGCAGTTTGACACTACTTTATAAGCCAAGACTCAATGCTATAGAATCATGGGAGTCGTAGTTTGGAGAGGCACTAGCACTATCTGGAAGAGAAGGATAAAGACCTTGTAAACGTATAGTACCCATGCTTCCATAACATTGAGCTGTGGTAGAAAAAGTGATGTCAAACTGCATTACATTTACTGTGCAGATGCACCCAAAATCCCGAGGACTTATAACTGTACAGTACATGAAGCAGGACTGGCTTGGCCTCTATTTCAATCTAATTAAACTTCCTTATTTCTCTTAAGGAAAGGAACAGAGGAGACAATACACTTGAGTTATTATCTGGAGATGTTTAAAAAGCAGGAAGAAAAAAAGAAAAGGCCTTGAAGCAGCCTAAAGAATAACCAATATATTTCTATGAACTGCAACCCATTTTTGTATTTAAAGAACTGGGACTGCAGTCCATAGAAGGTTATGTTGAAATAAACTGGTAAATCTCAAAAATGCCACAGACTCCGTATTTCCATGGATCTTCTGAAACAGACTAATACAGATTTCTGATTACATATTGTTTGATCAGAAGGCAGGGTCTGTTAAAGGAGAGATGTTTAGGAAGTTTCAATGAGAGGGATGGGCTTAGAAGCATTCTCAGCCCAGGAGGCCAGAGAAAAGAGACGCTTCCCCCCATCAGAACCAAGCCTGCACACACACACACACACACACGCACACGTGTGTGTATCTACAGACACATCTTTGTGTGTATTGTTGTTGTTTTCATTCCAAAAAAGCCATTATTAATTGTATTTTATATAATGCATACATATTAATATATCATAGTATATACTGGGACCTCAGCATTCAAGGATTTTGAAACCAAACTCCAATGGACAGCATGGCCGTGCTTTTACCATTTTATTACGATACTGCGATACATCCAAGGATTTTGGTATCCACAGGAGTCTTGAAACCGAATTCCGGTAGATACCACAGGCTTACGATACACATTAAACGTGTGTGTGTGTGTGTAGACAGCCAGAATGGCCCCATCCCTGCTGTCCTTCCAGCAGCAGGCTAAAACCTTTTTATTCAGACAGGATTTTAAAGGTGAACATGTTTAAGATCTAGTCAGGGGGCACTGACTAGATCACACTTTAACTGTGATTTTTAAGTGCTCTTTGCATTCAATTCTATTTTAATGTTTGCATTTTTGCATATACAATTTTAAATTGTATATGTCAAGCTGCTTTCAGTCCCCTTTGGGGAGATAAACTGTGGTATAAATAAATATAATAATAAATAAATTATATTACATACATAAGCATGTATACATTCTTTTCATTCAAAAAACCATCCAAACAAGAAAACCTTAACTTGAATATGTTATATAATTATTCTATCTATTATTTTTATTTAAGGCACACACATCACAATATTACTGTTTATAATGGGACATGAGCATCCATGGATTTTGGTATCCACAGGCGTCCTGAAAAAAAAGTCTAGAGGAAACCACGGGTCCACTGTACACATATATTATGTTTGTACCTGTATACATATATACAAATGCTTTGGATTCATAGCGAACTGGTAAGATCCTGGGAAAATTGGGTTGGAAACTGCGTTTCCTATAACACAAATATATATGGAGAGAGACCTGTCTGTGTGCATCTATGTATATATGTACGTTTTGTTCCAAAAAAGCAACCCTTAATTTTGCCAGACTGAGTCATATATATTTATGGGTATGTGTGTGTATATAGAGAGACTTGTGTGTGTATGTATACAGGTAATTTTTTCATTCCAAATAAGCAAACCTTCATTTTGACAGACCCTGTATACACATACATATTTTGTGTGTGTGTGTGTGTGTGTGTGTGTGTGTGTATGTAGAGAGAGAGAGGGAGGGAAATCTAGATATTTTTGTGTGTGTACATTTTTTTTCATTCCAAATAAGCAAACCTTGATTTTGACAAACCCTGTATACACAAACATATTTGTGTGTGTATGTAGAGAATGAGGGAAATATAGATATTAGTGTGTGTGTGTGTGTGTGTGTGTGTGTACATTTTTTCATTCCAAATAACCAAACCTTGATTTTGCCAGACCCTGTATACACATACATATTTGTGTGTGTGTGTGTGTGTGTGTGTGTGTGTGTGTGTGTATGTATGTATGTGTATGTATATGTATATATATATATATATATATATATATATATATAGTTGTTTGTGTGTGTAGAGAGAGGGAGGAAGATTAGATATTTGTGTGTGTGTGTGTGTGTATACAGGTACATTTTTTCATTCCAAATAAGCAATCCTTGATTTTGACAGACCCTGTATACACAAACATATTTGTGTGTGTGTGTGTGTGTGTGTGTGTGTGTGTAGAGAGAGGGAAATCTAGATATTTGTGTGTGTGTGTGTGTACATTTTGTCATTCCAAATAAGCAAACCTTGATTTTGACAGACCCTGTGTACACATACATATTTGCGTATGTGTGCTTATATATATGTATGTATGTATGTATGTTTGTGTGTGTAGGGAGAGGGAGGGAAATTAGATGTGTGTGTGTGTATACCGGTACATTTTTTCATTCCAAATAAGCAAAGCTTCATTTTGACAGACCCTGTAAACACATACATATTTGTGTGTGTGTGTGTGTAGAGAGAGGGAAGGAAATCTTGATATTTGTGTATGTGTGTGTACATTTTTCATTCCAAATAAGCAAACCTTGATTTTGACAGACGCTGTATACACATACATATGTGTGTGTGTGTGTGTGTGTGTGTGTGTAGAGAGAGGGAAATCTAGATATTTGTGTGTGTGTGTGTGTGTGTGTGTATATATATGTATGTTTATGTGTGTAGAGAGAGAGGGAGGAAGATTAGATATTTGTGTGTGTACATACAGGTACATTTTTTTCATTCCAAATAAGCAAACCTTGATTTTGCCAGACTCTGTATACACATACATATTTGTGTGTGTGTGTAGAGAGAGAGAAATCTAGATATCTGTATGTGTGTGTGTGTATGTGTGTGTATATATATATATATATATGTGTGTGTGTGTGTGTGTGTGTGTGTGTTTATGCGTGTAGAGAGAGAGGGAGGAAGATTAGATATTTGTGTGTGTACATACAGGTACATTTTTTTCATTCCAAATAAGCAAACCTTGATTTTGCCAGACTCTGTATACACATACATATTTGTGTGTGTGTGTAGAGAGAGAGAAATCTAGATATCTGTGTGTGTGTATATATATATATATATGTTTGTGTGTGTAGAGAGAGAGGGAGGAAGATTAGATATTTGTGTGTGTGTACATACAGGTACATTTTTTCATCCCTAATAAACAAACCTTGATTTTGCCATTATATGTACATGCATATATAACGATTACACCTATTATAAAGTATTATTATTATGTTGACATAAGCCACTGCATCTGATGGGGACTCACCGCTTTGCTCGCCCAGGAAGACCAGCTTGAATTTCCGCAGCGGGTTGCCGAAGTCCCCACCCGCCGACATGATGACAAGGACGGAGGAGAAGCCTCAGATGGGAAAAGGAACGAGGGAGAAGGGGAAGGAAGGAGAAAGGGGGAGGGGGCAAAAAAACACCCGGAATGACTCTCCCCCGGACTTTGTCCCCCCACGGAGAGGTTTTGAAAGGGGACCTCAAAGATGAAGGGGGAAGGAAAAAAAGGGCCCACCCTTAAAGGGACCCCCGAAAGAAGCGTTGAGAGGGGAAGGGGGAAAAAAGGAGCGGCTGAGGGAACGACGGAGGAAAGGAGAGAGAGAGGCAGCCGGCCGCGCAGCCACGACAACACCTCTGGCGAGGCAAATCGAGGCCCCGCCTGCGGCCTGCCTCTCCCGCAGACGCCTCAGAGAGAAAGCTGGCCGCTTGGGAGCCTACTGCGCATGCGCGCGGAGCAGCCGTCCAATCGGGAAGAGGAGGGGCGGGGCCTAAAGCAATAGGGGCGTGGCTAATGTGAATCCGACTGTCACTGACTCAATCGAGTCGGCCGCCATGTTGAAACGATGACGCCACACAAGTAGTGGCTGCAACGCATGCGCAGAGAGGAACACAGAGGGCAAACCCGGAACAGGACTAGGGCAGGGCTTTGGGATTGACAGGCCGCCATATTGAAACGATGACGCCACACAAGCAGTGGCTGAAACGCATGCGCAGTAAGGGACAGAGAGGGCAAACCCGAAACAGGAGTAGGGCGGGGCTTTGGGATTGACACATAGCTGTGCGAATAGATGTGCTGAGGCGGGACTTTTCTTTCCTAGGGTGCTACAGCAATAGCAGGCATGCAGTTAAGATACAAGTTACTCCCATTATTCCACAGCATCAAGATAGGACAGTTCAAGTAGTATCAAACTGCGATAATTCTACAGTGTAGATGCATAACTGCATTATACTGTTATAGAACTCCAAGATAGGGCAGTTCAAGTGGTATCAAACTGCGATAATTCTGCAGTGTAGATGCATAACTGCATTATACTGTTATAGAACTCCAAGATAGGGCAGTTCAAGTGGTATCAAACTGCGATAATTCTGCAGTGTAGATGCATAACTGCATTATACTGTTATAGAACTCCAAGATAGGGCAGTTCAAGTGGTATCAAACTGCGATAATTCTACAGTGTAGATGCATAACTGCATTATACTGTTATAGAACTCCAAGATAGGGCAGTTCAAGTGGTATCAAACTGCGATAATTCTGCAGTGTAGATGCATAACTGCATTATACTGTTATAGAACTCCAAGATAGGGCAGTTCAAGTGGTATCAAACTGCGATAATTCTGCAGTGTAGATGAACAACTGCATTATACTGTTATAGAACTCCAAGATAGGGCAGTTCAAGTGGTATCAAACTGCGATAATTCTGCAGTGTAGATGAACAACTGCATTATACTGTTATAGAACTCCAAGATAGGGCAGTTCAAGTGGTATCAAACTGCGATAATTCTGCAGTGTAGATGAACAACTGCATTATACTGTTATAGAACTCCAAGATAGGGCAGTTCAAGTGGTATCAAACTGCGATAATTCTGCAGTGTAGATGAACAACTGCATTATACTGTTATAGAACTCCAAGATAGGGCAGTTCAAGTGGTATCAAACTGCGATAATTCTGCAGTGTAGATGCATAACTGCATTATACTGTTATAGAACTCCAAGATAGGGCAGTTCAAGTGGTATCAAACTGCGATAATTCTGCAGTGTAGATGAACAACTGCATTATACTGTTATAGAACTCCAAGATAGGGCAGTTCAAGTGGTATCAAACTGCGATAATTCTGCAGTGTAGATGAACAACTGCATTATACTGTTATAGAACTCCAAGATAGGGCAGTTCAAGTGGTATCAAACTGCGATAATTCTGCAGTGTAGATGAACAACTGCATTATACTGTTATAGAACTCCAAGATAGGGCAGTTCAAGTGGTATCAAACTGCGATAATTCTGCAGTGTAGATGAACAACTGCATTATACTGTTATAGAACTCCAAGATAGGGCAGTTCAAGTGGTATCAAACTGCGATAATTCTGCAGTGTAGATGAACAACTGCATTATACTGTTATAGAACTCCAAGATAGGGCAGTTCAAGTGGTATCAAACTGCGATAATTCTGCAGTGTAGATGCATAACTGCATTATACTGTTATAGAACTCCAAGATAGGGCAGTTCAAGTGGTATCAAACTGCGATAATTCTGCAGTGTAGATGCATAACTGCATTATACTGTTATAGAACTCCAAGATAGGGCAGTTCAAGTGGTATCAAACTGCGATAATTCTGCAGTGTAGATGCATAACTGCATTATACTGTTATAGAACTCCAAGATAGGGCAGTTCAAGTAGTATCAATCTGCGTTAATTCTGCAGTGTAGATGCATAACTGCATTATACTGTTATAGAACTCCAAGATAGGGCAGTTCAAGTGGTATCAAACTGCGTTAATTCTACAGTGTAGATGCACAACTGTATTATGCTGTTATAGAACTCCAATATGCTGATGACAATGTCGTCTGTGCACATTCAGAAGACCGCTCTAAACACCTTCGCAGAAGCATACGAGAAGCTCAGCCTGTCACTGAATACTGAGAAAACCAAAGTGCTCTTCCAGCATAATAATAATAATAATAATAATAATAATAATAATAATAATAATATAAACTTTGCGTTGTAGTTTTTTCTGGGTTATATGGCCATGTTCTAGAGGCATTTTCTCCTGACGTTTCACCTGCATTTATTTATTTATTTATTTATTTAAAAGTTTTCTATACCGATCTTCTCACCTCCAGGAGGGACTCAGATCCGGTTCACAACATGTGTTCATATACAAAATACAAACCACACAATGCATTATCATTACACGTTAAAAACATATTACAATACAACATCATCATCATCACAATTGGAGCCCCCGGTGGCGCAGTGGGTTAAAGCTCTGTGCCGGCAGGACTGAAGACCGAAAGGTCGCAGGTTCGAATCCAGGGAGAGGCGGATAAGCTCCCTCTATTAGCTCCAGCTCCTCATGCGGGGACATGAGAGAAGCCTCCCACAAGGATGATAAAACATCAAAAATCATCCAGGCATCCCCTGGGCAACGTCCTTGCAGACGGCCAATTCTCTCACAACAGGAGCGGTTGCTCCTGAGACGACAACAAAAAAAAAATCATCACAATTACACAACCAAGTCGTCAAAAACATTCATGAACATAATGCACAGTTAATCATTCTCCTTCCATGTGGACCAGAGTTGACTCAGTATTTATTTAAAAGTTGGCAAGCATCCTCAAAGGTAGGCGAAACGTCAGGAGAAAATGCCTCTAGAACATGGCCATATAACCCGGAAAAACCTACAACAACCCAGTGATTCCGGCCATGAAAACCTTCAACAATACATAATAAACTTTATTAATAAGCCTCCACCATCTCCCCAAAGGGGACTTGGGGTGGCTAACAGGAAGCCAAGCCCAAAGATACAATACAGCACAATAAAATATAGAATGCAGACAACAAAAATTACAGCAGTATAAAATACAGGTTGTTGTTGTTGGTCATTCGTTCAGTCGCTTCCGACTCTTCATGACCTCATGGACCAGCCGCCAGAGCTCCCTGTTGGCTGTCGCCACCTCCAGCTCCTTCAAGGTTAAGCCAGTCACTTCAAGGATGCCATCCATCCATCTTGCCCTTGTTCGGCCCCTCTTCCTTTTTCCTTCCATTTTCCCCAGCATCATTGTCTTCTCTAAGCTTTCCTTTCTTCTCATGATGTGGCCAAAGTACTTCATCTTTGCCTCTACTATCCTTCCCTCCAATGAGCAGTCGGGCTTTATTTCCTGAAGTATGGACTGGTTGGATCTTCTCGCAGTCCAAGGCACTCTCAGCAATTTCCTCCAACACCACAGCTCAAAAGCATCTCTCTTCCTTCGCTCAGCCTTCCCGAAGGTCCAGCTCTCACATCCGTAGGTGACTACAGGGAATACCATGGCTTTGACTAGGCAATGGATCTTTGTTGCCAGTCTGATGTCTCTACTCTTTACTATTTTATCGAGATTGGTCATTGCTGAATCATATATATCTATCTATATCTATGATTGGATGGCTGTTTGTCAGGAAGGTTTTGATTACGTTTTCTTGTCCTGGTGAAGGGTGTGGACTGGATGGCCTTAAGTATGGGGGTTCTGTGTGGGAGGTTTGTCCCAATTCTGTCATTGGTGGGCTTCAGAATGCTCTTTGATTGCAGGCGAACTATAATTCCCAGTAACTACAAATCCCAAATGTCATCTCTATCTGTGTTCATATTTGGCCATATGGAATATTTGTGTCAAGTTTGGTCCAGATCCATCATTGTTTGAGTCCACAGTGCTCTCTGGATGTAGGTGAACTACAACTCCCAAACTCAAGGTCCATGCCCTCCAAACCCTTCTAGTGTTTTCTGTTGGTCATGGGAGTCCTGTGTGCCCATGTTTAGTTCAATTCCAGAATTGGTGGAGTTCAGAATGCTCTTTGATTGTAGGTGAACTATAAATCCCAGCAAGTACAACTCCCAAATGTCAAGGTCCATTTTTTTTTGAGTGAAGGACATACATTGGGTTGTTAGGTGTCTTGTGTCCAAATTTGGTGTCAATTCCCACAGTGGTTTTTGAGTTCTGTTAATCCCACAACGAAAATTATTTTTATTTACATAGATAGATAGATAGATAGATAGATAGATAGATAGATAGATAGATAGATATAGGATAGATAGATAGATAGATAGATAGATAGATTAGATGGATAGATAGATAGATAGATAGATAGATAGATAGATAGATAGATAGTTGAATGCATGGATGGATAGATAGATAGATAGATAGATAGATAGATAGATAGATAGATAGATAGATAGTTGAATGCATGCATGATGGATGGATGGATGGATGGATGGATGGATGGATGGATGGATGGACAGATAGATTAGTGGGCGGATAGATGGATGGGATGGATGGATGGATGGATGGGTAGGTAGGTAGGTAGGTAAGTAGGTAGATAGATAGATAGATAGATAGATAGATAGATAGATAGATAGATAGATGAGAGAGAGATGGATGGATGGATGGATAGATAGATAGATAGATAGATAGATAGATAGATAGATAGATAGATAGTTGAATGCATGCATGCATGGATGGACAGATAGATTAGTGGGCGGATAGATGGATGGGATGGATGGATGGATGGATGGATGGATGGATGGATGGATGGATAGATAGATAGATAGATAGATAGATAGATAGATAGATAGATAGATAGTTGAATGCATGGATGGATGGATGGATGGATGGACAGATAGATTAGTGGGCGGATAGATGGATGGGATGGATGGATGGATGGGTAGGTAGGTAGGTAGGTAAGTAGGTAGATAGATAGATAGATAGATAGATAGATAGATAGATAGATAGATAGTTGAATGCATGGATGGATGGATGGATGGATGGATGGATGGATAGATAGATAGATAGATAGATAGATAGATAGATAGATAGATAGATAGTTGAATGCATGCATGCATGGATGGACAGAAGGGATGGATGGATGGATGGATGGATGGATGGATGGATGGATGGAGGAATGGATGGAGGAATGGATGGATGATAGATAGATAGATAGATAGATAGATAGATAGATAGATAGATAGAAGATGGATGGATGGATGATGGATAGATGGATGGTGGATAGACAGACAGAAAGGAGAGATGGATAGCTAGATGGATGGATGGATGGATAGATAGATAGATAGATAGATAGATAGATAGATAGATGCATGGATGGTTACATGGATGGATAGATGAATGGATGGATAGATGAATGGATCTCATGATAAAGCCACGCCCCTTGCCTCTCCGCCTAACCAATCAGAACAGCTGGAAAGAAAAAGCCGTTTCTGATTGGCCGAGGCGCGAGCTGCTCCTTGCCGCAACCTCTCACCATTCCATCTAAAAGCTATAGGAACTAAAATTGCGCGGAACTGTTCTGTAAGGATTTTCTTGTCGGACCGCGAGGTGCTGGGGGACCCATTTGAGAGACGGACCTATTCAGATTCGCGTTTCTTCCGGTGCTTTGTGGAGAGGAGGCTGCTGAGGAACCATGAGCGCCGCTTTGGGCAAAGTAGGTATCCTTTTGGGGGGCGGGGAGAGGGGCGAGGAGGGAAATAGGATACAACCCAGGCCTGTAGTCTCATTGAGAAGCCTTTGCAGTTGGGGAAGGCCTAAGGCAAGCCTGGGCCAACTTGGGCCCTCCCTCCAGGTGTTTTGGACTTCAACTCCCACCATTCCTGGCATCTTCCTTGTTCCCTTTTAAACACCAGCATTCAGGGCTTCCAAAAACGGTTTGCTAACAGCTTGCTGTCAAGGTGATGCATGCCATATGCCAGCAAATATGGAAAACACAAGAATGGCCATAGGAAGGATAATAATATTGAGGATAGTTTTGACGGTGTAGTGAATGAATTAGAACCAGACATCCTGAGGAGTGAGGTTGGAATGGGCCTTAAGAAGCATTGCTAACAACAAGGCAGCAGGAGACGACGGGATCCCAGCTGAACTGTTTAAAATCTTAAAAGATGATGCTGTCAAGGTGATGCATGCCATATGCCAGCAAATATGGAAAACACAAGAATGGCCATCAGACTGGAAAAAATCAACTTATATCCCATACCAAAAAAGGGAAATGCGAAAGACTGCTCCAAACTTCCGTACAGGGGCCCTTATTTCTCATGCCAGTAAGGTAATGCTCAAGATCCTGCAAGGAAGAAGACTCCAGCAAGGCATGGAGCGAGAGTTGCCAGATGTTCAAGCTGGGTTTAGAAAAGGCAGAGGAACCAGAGACCAGATTGCCAATATCCGCTGGATAATGGAGAAAGGCAGGGAGTTTCAGAAAAACATCTATTTCTGCTTCATTGACTACTCTAAAGCCTTTGACTGTGTGGATCATAATAAATTGTGGCAAGTTTTTGGTGGGATGGGCATACCAAGCCCTTCCCTCTCTCCTGAGGAATCTGTACAAGGACCAAGTAGCAACAGTCAGAACTGACCACGGAACAGGAGACTGGCTCGAGATTGGGAAAGGCGTCCGGCAAGGCTGCATCCTCTCACCCAACCTTTTTAACTTGTATGCAGAACACATCATGCGAGGATGTGCGGGGCTTGATGAATGCAAAGCTGGGGTGAAAATGACTGGAAGAAACATTAACAACCTCAGATATGCAGATGACACCACTCTGATGGCCGAAAGCGAGGAGGAGCTGAGGAGCCTTCTAATCAAGGTGAAAGAAGAAAGCGCAAAAGCTGGGTTGCAGCTAAACATCAAAAAAACCAAGATCATGGCAACAAGAATGATTGACAACTGGAAAATAGAGGGAGAAAATGTGGAGGCCGTGACAGACTTTGTATTTCTAGGTGCAAAGATTACTGCAGATGCAGACTGTGGCCAGGAAATCAGAAGACGCTTCCTTCTTGGGAGGAGAGCAATGTCCAGTCTCGATAAAATAGTAAAGAGTAGAGACATCAGACTGGCAACAAAGATCCGCCTAGTCAAAGCCATGGTATTCCCTGTAGTCACCTACAGATGTGAGAGCTGGACCTTAGGGAAGGCTGAGCGAAGGAAGATAGATGCTTTTGAGCTGTGGTGTTGGAGGAAAGTTCTGAGAGTGCCTTGGACTGCGAGAAGATCCAACCAGTCCATCCTCCAGGAAATAAAGCCCGACTGCTCACTGGAGGAAGGATACTAGAGACAAAGCTGAAGTACTTTGGCCACATCATGAGGAGACAGCAAAGCCTAGAGAAGACAATTATGCTGGGGAAAGTGGAAGGCAAAAGGAAGAGGGGCCGACCAAGGGCAAGATGGATGGATGGCATCCTTGAAGTGACTGGAATGACCTTGAAGGAGCTGGGGGTGGTGACGGCCGACAGGGAGCTCTGGCGTGGGCTGGTCCATGAGGTCACGAAGAGTCGGAGACGACTGAACAATGAACAAGCTCTGGCGTGGGCTGGTCCATGAGGTCATGAAGAGTCGGAGGCGACTGAACGAATGAACAACAACAACAACAGCTTGCATGTTCACAGTGGAAGAAGAAGAAGGCATAAGCCAGAATAAACTGCCAAAAAGCAACTCAGGCTCCTTCTACACTGCAGTGTAGACAGGTTCTCAGAGCCTTGGGAAAAAGCACTGCAGGACCTTGGAGAACTCACTGCACACTTTCTCAGTATTAACCAAAACTCTTTTTCTTCTTTTAATAGGTTCTGTGTTTGGGAAAGGAACCTGTTTTAAAGGAGACACCTATGCTTATTAGGTAAGATGACTGACGTTTAAGCAAATATGGTACCCATTGTTTTTCTGACTTTATTTGTTTATTTAAAACATTTATATTCCGCCCTTCTCACCGCTGCATATAGGCGGAGCACAGCCTATATATGCCATACATTTAATGCTGGGACACAAATCCTTATATGCATACATAAACATTAAAAACATTTATCAAAATATTAAAATACACCATTTAAAACGGTCCTAGTCATCCACGTCAATTCTAACTGGCCTGGTCATCTTTCCTATTTCCGCTTTCTTGCCCTGTCCCGAAAGCTTGGTCCCACAGCCAAGTTTTTCCCATCTTTCTAAAGGACAGGAGGGAGGGGGCCAACCTGATCTCACCAGGAAGGGAGTTCCATAGCCGGGGAGCAACCACCAAAAAGGCCCTGTCTCTCGTTCCCACCAATTGTGCCTGTGACAATGGCGGGACGGAGAGCGGGGTCTCCCCGGAGGATCTTAATTGCCGCGATGGTTCATAGGGAGGGATGCGTTCGGACTGGTAATTTGGGCCGGAGCCGTTTAGGGTTTAATTGTGCAGTCCTTACTTTGAAAGTAGTTGTTCTACTCCATGTTGAATTGATTGAGAAATTCATTGAAAAACTATAGCAAAATGTGCTCCGTGACGTTTCCTCCCACAGAAAAGTTTTGCAGATTTTTGTCAAAAGCTTTCATGGCCGGAATCACTGGGTTGTTATCAGTTTTCCGGGCTATGTGGCCATGTTCCAGAAGCATTATCTCCTGATGTTTTGCCCACATCTATGGCAGGCATCAGAGGTTGTGAAGTTTGTTGGAAACTACAGATTGTCATAGGTGTGGGCGAAACGTCAAGAGAGAATGCTTCTGGAACATGGCCATACAGCCCGGAAAACTCACAACAACCCTTTTTGTAGTTTAATAAACATTTCCCATGTTTTTATGTTGGAATCATTTGGGAAATGGCATTTATAAGCCAGGAACAAAAATTATGTTGCATAGGGTTATCGTAGTGTTATCGACTTTGATTTACCTGGGAGCCAGATTGGCAGCTTTGAAGAGTGTTGAAATATATTAGAGGGGAAAACATCACTCCTTTCGCAGTGATCAGCTTTGGTTTTTTTTCCTCCGTTAGACTCGCCTTCAATGCTTCTAGAAGGAGCGCCGTTTGTTCTGTAGGTAAGCACACTTATATCTCGCTCGCACCTCTGAAAACAAACACTGGCAGTATCGCCATAAGAACGATAATTGACCTCAGTCATAGGAGCCTGTAGTGCTTTGCTCTGCAATGCTGTTATTATGTGTGACTCATCCAGGAAGGAACCAGCTGGTTTTGTAGCTCTCACACTTCTAGGCTCCCCGGTAATATTTTTCTGCGCCTTTCCTCAAGGGAAGGGAATTCATTCTCTTCAAAGTCTCTTCGAATTGCAACTCACATTATAAATATGCCTCTGGGATCCCTTACACTACAATAAAAAACCTTGTAACTATATAGACATATATTCACAATTTTACGTTCCTGAAGCCAACGAATTTTTTCCTCTTTAGGAATTTGCTAGGCCCTCCAGATTATTCTATTGGTTGCTTCCCCTGGAAGTTGTTATAGAGTTGTACTGGAGGACTTCTAGATCCTCCACAACACCTCTGTGGTATTCCTATAAAAGACTCAGTCTAATAATGCTCAAAGTGTGGCAAACCTGAGGAGTCTGGTTCACCCGTTATGTTCTGCTCCATGGAAGGAGAGAGATGGTGTATTCGGTGTGGCAGAGTTGCAAGGGAGCAGTCTGGTCACTTTGGGTCTTCTTTCTCAAGGGAAGAGGAAGAAGTGCGCTTTTTCAGTCTTGGATTTTGTGCATGGAGTCAGGTTCTGCTGTACAGAAAACAGATCTGGTCCTTGGCATTGTGCTTAGGGAAAGGATGCGTTTTGAAGTTTTGCCATCATGTAAATTTTGGAACTATACATTGACAGGCTGCAGGAAAGCAGGGTCTGGCCTAACAGGTGCTTCTCCAAGGAGAGAGAAATGGATATGGTAATATTTTGGATGCATGTGGATGAATGCGTGTACATGTGTGTGAATGTTGAGTGAAAATGTAATTCTCCTTTGTTTGTTTGTTAGCCATGTAATTGTGAATCTAATGTAGTTGCATAGAATCCGTATGTCTGTATGTCGAATGTCATTCTATGTCTAAATGTTTTTCTGTAATCTGATGCACCCTCTCACACTGGAAATTGCAATAAAAAGAACCTATGCTTTAAAGTTATTGAAAAGTCATTCATGACAAATTGGTGTCAGAAGTGGGATATTCTTTTCCAATGCGGGGAAGTTATTCATAACACAATGAGATAGTGCTTTATTATTTGCACAGCAGAGGTGGGAGTTTAGGGGGATTTCAAGGATTTCCTTCTGTTTCTGATTCAGGATGTATGCCAGTGAGTGGCCACAGGCACTACAGGTCCCAGCCGACCCACGGCATCGGACGATATAAGCATCTGCTCCCGCCAGAGGTAAGTATTAGTATCCATGTATTAAACACTGTTTATTTTACTGCTTCTTAAAGCTACGTTTTTACTGAGAGCCAGTGTGGTGTAGTGGTTTGGAAACTGGACTAAGACCACATTTTGAATCTCCAATCAGCCATGGAAACTAGCTGGATGACTTTGGGCAAGTCAGGCCCTCTTTGCTCGAGAAGAACCCACTTCATTGGGTGGGTCCTGGTCAATTTGAAATATTCTCTGAGCTGGAAAGAGCTTCCTTTATTTCTTAACATCACAGTTCGAGCAGGAAGCTTTGAAATGGTTGAACAGAAGTTATCTGAAGCTCTAGGTGCTCTTGCTGTCTATTACAGGGAAAACCAGCTGATTCCTAATCCATCTAAAACACAGATGTGTGCTTTTCATCTTAAGAACAGACAAGCATCCCGAGCTCTGAGGATTACCTGGGAAGGAATCCCACTGGAGCATTGCAGCACACCCAAATACCTGGGAGTCACTCTGGACCGTGCTCTGACCTACAAGAAGCACTGCCTGAAGATCAAGCAAAAAGTGGGTGCTAGAAACAATATCATACGAAAGCTGACTGGCACAACCTGGGGATCACAACCAGACACAGTGAAGACATCTGCCCTTGCGCTATGCTACTGCTGCTGAGTACGCATGCCCAGTGTGGAACACATCTCACCACACTAAAACAGTAGATGTGGCTCTTAATGAGACATGCTGCATTATCAAAGGGTGTCTGCGCCTTACATCACTGGAGAAATTACACTGTTTAGCCGGAATTGCACCACCTGACATCTGTCAAGAAGTAGCACCTGTAATGAAAGGACCAAGGCAATAACATCTCCAGCCCATCCTCTTTTTTGGATTATCAGTCAGCATGCCAACACCTTAAATCAA